TTTTCAACAAGGCTTAGTCCTTCAAAACGTCAGGCTCTCCCACGCATCCCAGGAGAAAGCAGAGCTCACGTCTGAAGATACAGGGCCGGCCAGTCAGCCGCAGCGATGCATTCTGGGCACTGCTGCTCCACGGGCTGGGGTCATGTGAGAGGCCCACGGTCAACTCCCAACCCGCCCTAAAAACCCTGGGGGGTGTGTCTGTGGTCCCCGCTGCTCAGGAGGCTGGGGCAGGAGGATTGTGACCCAGTGAGACCGTTTAAAACACCACACGCACATGCTCACAGACACACACACCACACACAACATACAAGAGTGGCTTTGCATCCTGGGAGAAAAGTGAAAGAATATGTCCTATAGACCTGAGAGAGAAATTATTCTCGTCTAAGATAGGCCATGGGTCAGCGGGTGGCACATGGCCAGCTCCACGGTTCGAGTCCTGGACCTGGCAGCTTGAAAAGCTGAGTGCATGTGTGTGCATGCCAAAAATCCAAGAGGAGGATGGAGAAGAAGGGATTGTGGTGTGGCCAACTCCCTTGGCAGGGGGTGGCTCGCTTTCTCTTTCTCTTTCTGTTTCTGTCTCCAGCAAACACACATGCCCTATAGCAAAGAAATTACATTTTTAAAAAAAGGACTGGCTATATAGTCAGATTAGGATTTTTCTTTAAAATAATTATAGTGTTGAGACCAGCAGATGGCATAATGGTTGTATCGCTGGATTCCCACGTAGTCAACCGTGGTTTGAGCCCCAGACCCGGTGGCTTAAAACTCACGCTGGGCATGTGTGCATGCCCAAAATCCTGAGAAGAGAACAGAGGAGAAGGGATTGTGGCCATCTCCCAGAGGGGTGGTTTTTCACTTTCTGTTTCTCTGTCTTTCTGGCAAGAGTATGTACCCTATAGCAAAAAAATCTCTAAACAAACAAACAAACAAACAAACAAAAAACCCCAAAACACCTTAGTGCTATGGGCAAGTTGTGTCAGGACCTTGAACTGTGCCTGTATTTGGAGACAGGGCCTTAAAAAAGGTGGGTAAGTTGCACTTAATTAACGCCCTGAGGATGGCCTAGTTAGGGCATTAGAAGAAAGGCCTGTGTTGTGTGCAGAGGAAGGGCCTGGTGAGGACACAGAAGGTGGCCATCTGCAGGCCAAGGAGCGAGGCCTCAGGGAACACCAGCCTGCTTGCTTTGCCTCCAGCCTCTAGAACTGTAAGGAAACAGACGTCTGGTGTGTAAGCCACCCAGACTCGGTCTGTCACAGCACCTCGAGAAAACTGACGTACATTGTGTCAAGAAAACAATCCGTCGACCAACTTTCTGAGCAACAAAAACATGCATAAGGGATCAGCAGATGGCATAACGGCTACGTCGCTGGACTCCCACGTAGTCAACTGCAGTTCAAGTCCTGGACCTGGCGGCTTAGAACTCGCGCCAGGCGTGTGTGTGTGTGCATGCCCAAAATCCTGGGAGGAGAACGGAGAAGAGACTGTGGCATGGCCATCCCCCTTGAGGGGTGATTTCTCACTTTCTGTCTCTCTGTCTCTCCAGCAAGCACATGCACCCTATACCAACAATTTCTCTAAAACACAAAACAAAACATCGCATAAGCTAGGGAAGAAACAAAACCCACTTGACAAACAGCTGTCCTCAGATGATAGCAAAGGGTTAACAGCGAACAGTAAGAAACTAGCAAGCCAGACAGTGGGAACTGTAAGGGAAAACTTAGAATTTCAAAAAGGATTTCAATTAGCCAAGATGTACGAAACCCTTTCTCCTCTTTATTTACGAGTGAGTGTGCACGCGTGGCCTGGTCGCACCGTGAGCCTTTGCTCTAGTCTGTCCACTCGCGTGCATGCCTGGTGTGTTTCATGTGCTAGCCAGGCTGGGGAATCGAACCTCAGTTTCCCTTGAACGAGCTTTACCAGTGCTCCACAGAGCCGGCCCCAGTAGCCAAGATATTTCAGAGAACGGATGAGCAAGTGGGTGGGCGGGTGGGTGGTTGAAGTGTGGAGGGAGGAGATGGCTAAATCGAAACGTGTGGTCTCTCTTCTAGAAGCCCGAGGAGAGTTTAATAATAAACGTGTGCAATGGGGCCGGCAGGGGGCGCGGTGGCTGAGGCAGCTGCATCCCACATGGCTGGCTGTGCGGTTTGAGTCCTGGACCCAGTGGCTTAAAAAAGATGCTGGATGCATGTGCATGAATGCCCCCAATCCTAAAAGAAGCATGCAGGAAATCCGATTGTGGTGGTGGGGCCAGAGGAGATATAGTGGTTAAAACACTGGACCGCCACATGGCTGACCATGGTTTGAGTCCTAGACCCGGTAGCTCGAAACTCACAGCAGGCGTGGGTGCCCAAAAATCCCAAGAGGAGAATGGAGGGGAAGGGATTGTGGCATGGCCAAGCACTGTGGGGGTGATTTCTCACTTTCTGTCACTCTGGCGAGTACATGTGTACATGTGCCTGATAGCAAAAAATATCCCTCTAAAAACAATTTAAAAAGGGATTGTGGTGTGGCCATTCCTCCTGGAGGGTGCTTTCTCTCTCTCTCTCTCTCCCCTTTCTCCCTCTCTCTGGAGCTCACACATGCCCTTGAGCAAATTGAAAAGAATGCATAAAGGGAAGAAGAACAGCTGATTTACTAATACTTTACACTTGCGTTTCAGAGACATGCTTACCAAAGCGATGGCCTCATTTATTACTGGTTACAGAAGGGGTAAAAAGGAATTGTTACCTAATGCACTTTATTAGGAGAATATGAGGTTGGTTCTCAAATCTGATAAGCCCTGCACTGGGAAGTTACGAATGATGCAGAGAATCCCACTAATCCCCCGGGAGCACCTGTGAAGTGTCCGGTCGACCAGGAGCCTGCAGACTTGGGCTTAAGCCTCAGCATTGCTCCCGCCCAGGTTCGAAGCCAGGAGAATCCTGTCCGGCCTCGGAGTCCTCAGTCTGAATGGCTGCAATACTCAGGGTAGGGCTTGCTCAGCACTGACCTCAGCCCAGCCTGCGGCCCCAGTAACCTCCTGTTCGCATCGCTCCACCTGGGCCACACTCCACCTGCCTCAAAAGAGCCTGCCCAGCTGTTCCTGAAAGCCCCTGGTTTTGCAGATACTCAGGGATAGGTGGGTGAGTTTTTCCTCTCTGGCGCCCGAGGGCAGCCTGCCAGCTGTGGAAAGGGGCTCCCTGTTGCGGGCCTTGCTCCCGCCCGAGGGCAGCCTGCCAGCTGTGGAAAGGGCGCCCTGCTGCGGGCCTTGCTCCTTGGCCCTGTCCAGCTGCCCTTGCCCTCTAGGAATGCACGGATCCGGTACAGGGCACTCTCCTGCGGGGTCCCCGCCGCTTCTCTCAGGTCGCCTGGCTCCCATCAGAGACACCTCTCATCTGCTCTCTTCCTGGTGCCTCCTTCTGGAGGGCCATGTGGCCCCTGCAAGCCTGGTGGGATTGGACTGGGCTGTGCAGGGATCGTGGCGTCCTGCCGTGTCCCTTTTCCCCCAGCACCTGTGCTCACGTCCCCCAGCTCCTTAAGGAAGGAGTAAAGTCCATGCACCCTGCCCGCGAACACATGTGTGTGCACACTGGGGTCCCCCATGCTCCACAGTCACTCAGGGTCAACCGGACCGCCGGCAGCCAGACGCCGGGCTCACGGGGCCTCAGTCCTCCTGCTGGGCTCGGCTCACGTGCATTCCAGAACTCAGAAGACGCCAGGATCGAGAAAGGGAACGTGTGGTTTCTGCCCTGCACCGGGTCAGACTCCGGTAGGGCCTCCAGCTGCGGGCATACCTGTCCGCACTCCTTACTTGCTGCAGAACGTCAGGACATGGACAAACCCCAGGCCACATTAAGCCTGGAAGTGAGTTTAGGTCAGAGGGTGGCACCGGATGTGTTTGTGACCGACCTGGGGAAATGTTTTGGTCTTCAGGGCTTTCTGGAGTTGAGAATCATGGCGGGAGGATTTGGGGACCTGCATTATCCTCTTTCTGGGCGTCCCTGCTCTGGAAGTGAAGCAGAGGAGTGGAAAGCCAAGCTCCTTTTCTGCCTGCTGCGCACCTAGGTCTTCACCTGTGCCAGCCCACAAAGGGGGAGCGGGGCGGGGCGGTCCTGGCTAATGTGTTTACCCAAGGCCTGAAGCAGGTGGGAGTCCCATCTGCTGCTCTCCAGCTGCCTCTCCAGCCAGCTCGAGGAGGGGAGAGGGCCCTGGAGCGTGGAGAGCCTCCTGACCTCCCCTTCCTCCAGGCAGTGCAGGAAAAGACCTTTCTCCAAGGGGAGAGGGCTCAAAGGTCGTCTCCAGCAAGGTCTGCCTTCCTGCTCTCCTGGCACCCCGGGGCTGAGAGGCCATTTGTTCCCTCTGTCCTCGTCTGTAACGATGAACACAGCCCCAGAGCCGCGCTGGGCCCTGGCCCCATTGTGCTCCCAGGAATGCAGGGGAAACCCAGAGCACTTGAGGCCAAGGGGCTGTCTCCCCCAGCTCTGCCTGGAGACAGGCCTGGGGCATCACATCTGCTTTCCGACCACCCCTGATGGGTCCCTCAGCCCTGGACATGCCTCGGTCCTGCAGACGGCATCCCTTCCAAACTGGCATTGCCAAGGGGAGCTGGAGATGTGGTCAGTTCAGGGAAGGTGTGGCAGGGCCCCAGGACAGAGGGGAGGTGGGAGGCAATTCACACCCACCTGTCCGACCTTCCAGCCATGCGTCTGTCCCTCTGTCTATATTTCCGTGCATCCAGCAAGCGTTAGCACGGCCTTCATACATGCCAGAAAAGACGCCTCCCGCGAAGGAGTAGCCACAGCGACTGACGCTACTGGCCTGTATCTGGCAGGGCCCGTTCCCATCCCCAGGAGGTGGGACTCGCCGGTGAAACTAACACAGCTGTTGGCTACACCCTCCTCTCTACCTGGGAGCCGCCAGTGAAGGAGGAACGCCACCTCCAGACTGCAAAGTGGGGTGTTGTGTTGGGCACCACCACAAGTGGCCCTGGGCCACCCCAAGCTCCCGGGCGGAGCAGCCCTCTACAGCTGTGTCCCTTTCATGAGTCCTAGAGGCTTCAGCACAGGCTCGGCCCCCAGGCCCTGTGGCCGTGACCCCAGGCTGCAGGGCAGGTGGGCGTCATGGATGACCTGCCAGACGGCAACCCGGAAAGTCTTGCTGACGAAGCAGTAGAGGCTGAAGTCGAGCGCTGTGTGAAGCATGGCGGCCATGTTGGCCACGTCCAGGGCCAGGTGGACCCGCCAGTCCCGGTGCACGGGGGCCACGTACAGGTGGTACAGCATGACGAAGGCCCGCGGGGCCCAGAGCAGGGCGAAGAGCGTGGTGACGCCCAGGAGGATGGTTGTGCTCTTGTTCCCCTGGGGCCGCAGCCCGCCCCGGCCACGCTTCCGGAGCTGGTGGACAATGGCCGAGTTGGTGACCAGGAACACGCCACAGGGGATGAAGTAGGCGGTGAGACAGTGGGCCCACTTGAGGACCTCGTCCAGCGTGCTGGGGGCATCTGCGTCCCTCCACACGTCCAGCCACCAGTAGAAGGGAATGCCCGTGAGCAGCGCAGCGCCGAGGACCACGGCAATGGCCCGGCGGGTCCTGCCTGGGGACGAGGCGGCCCGATGGTGCAGGGGGTGGCACAGGGCCTGGTAGCGGTCGACCGTGAGCAGGACGGCGATCCAGACAGAGGCGTGGTTGGCAGCAAACTCCAGGACGTTGGCGGTGCGCCCCACCGCGCGGGGCACCTCGCGGCCTAGCACGGCGCCTTGCAGCAGGAAGCCCACGAACACGATGACCACCTGGGTGACGATGTCTGAGGCAGTGAGCGCCAGTAGGTAGCAGTAGGAGGGCTTCCTGGTCCTGGCAGCAAGGCGGGCCAGGGCCACCGCGGTCAGGAGGTTGACTGACAGCAACCGAGGCCACAGAGCAGAGAGGTCGCAGCATTAGGGGAGATGCTCGCTTTGCTTTCCAAGAGCCCTGGTCTGCGTCCTCCTGCCCGCGCAGAGGGCTGGCAGGTCTCCCTCTCCCGCTTTTCAGATCCTCTTAAAACCTGACTTGCCAGGAAGGCTGACCGGTGAGCCATGGCCTGGGCGCCTGCCCACTGTGGGCTGCTGACCGCCCGGGTTACGTGCAGACAGGGCCACATGGTAGGGTGTCCCACGCCATCCCCCTCGAGGCCCTTTCTAGGTATTCTACGTCCTCAGAGTAGAGGCTTCCCTGGATGTGGAGGGGCGGGTCTGCTTACTGAGCTTCGGGAGCTCTCCAGGCTGAGACCCCCTAGCCTTCCCGGGTCCTCACACCCCACCGCACCCCACTCAGCTCTGCCCTCTGAAGGCCGTGCAGGGTGACGGCTCAGCCAGGAGCTCCCGGCCAGGCTGAGCTTGGTCCTACATGCAACTGGTCATTGCAGTGCCCACTGCTGCGCGGGGCTGTCTGTTCTGCTCTGACGCTGCGGGCTTCACTTCGAGCCGCCCAAACCCAAGCTCTTTTTATGCCCTCCTGCGCTTTGTTCTCAGAACAACCTCCCTCCCCCCCCACCCCAAAAAGGCAAAAGGAGACCCGGGGTCTGTGGTCCTGGATCTTAGGGGTCAGCAGAGACGACGGGCACCCACTGAAGGAGAACCCCGATTTCTGGCCAAGCCCAAGCCCCCAGATGTCCGCTCCATACTCACCAGGCAGCCCCAGGCCCAGCAGGACACTGTAGTAGATGACAGGGGCAACACCAACCACACATGGGGACCGCTCTGGGGTCCTGGGCCAGAGGCCGTCAAGCCCCCAGCTCAGCCTGCTGCCATTGGGTGTGGGCAGCAGGGTCACTGGCAGCTCACCAGCTGGGAGGGCAGAAGGGCAGGGTGAGACATTTGGTCGGAGGGGTTTGGTATCCTGTCTTGGCAACAGCTCCTGCTCTGCACAGGCCCCCGAGTGGACCCAGCCTGGAGGCAATCTCTGTTGGCATGAAGACCTGTGCCAAGGCCCCCCACCGCTCCCCACCAGTGGCCGGGCTCCCCACTGATGGGAAGAGGCCTTGGTGTCCTGCTGCCACTGGGGTCATTTCTGCACGCAGTGAACCCCGCGGGTCTCCACCCTTGATGGCAGAGGTCTGGACACTGAACGTGCCACGTCAGGGTCACAGGGAAACCCAGGCTCCTGGGCCTCGCTGCAGGCAGGCTAGGCAAGGCTGGCCGGGGGCCCGACCGAGCAGCTGCGGGCTGATCAGCGTCCTGGGAGATTCCACCCACAGTGGTTCCCTGTAGCTGCACAGCTGTCCCTCTCTAAGGGCCACTGTCACCAGGTCCCCTTCTTTTCTAAGTTAACGAGCACCCCTTTCCATAGGGCGGCATGACTAAGCTGGAACGGCCCTGGCTTTCCGTGGGGGGACCGAGTCCACAAGGGTAAGGAGACACCCCGACTGGTCTGGAACGAGGCTGTTCTCCCCAAACCACATTTAGTTTCTCCTTCGGCTTTAACTTCCAGCCTTTGATTTTGCTGAAACTGGGGGGACTCTCTCGGCCCCCTTTTACCTAGTTTCCCCGTCTGGCTGTCATTCTCTGTCAGCTCCAGCCTTCCATCCCCAGGAGGGTGAAGGTTCCTCTGCCCTTTCACTGGCCTTCCCTCCCCCACACCCCAGGTCCAGGTAGCCACACCTTACCTGGCTCTGCACCCTGTAGCCCCATGGTCCTGGGTCCTGAGTCCTGGGTCACCTGTGGCTTTTCCTGGGGGTCTCCGCAGCTCCCTTCCTGCATCACCAGCTGCCCCCACCCCCTGGTTCTCCACACGGTGTTTGCCCCGCGGTTCTTCCAGCAGCACTGAGCCTGTTAGTATGGAGGTGGGAGGAGGGCGGGGAGGGAGGAGAGGGTGGGACCGAGGTGCAGAGTGACGAGCCACCCTGTCCATGCTGCCTGGGACAAACTGGGGTCCCCTAGGGCACACAGGCAGTGAAAGGGTCTTCAGGAGAGAAAGGCTTGGCCCGGTGACGGGTCTGTCTGTGCCTTGGGGAGAGGTGAAGGGGCAGGATGGCAGAACCTGGGGCTCTGGGTGGGTTGCCTTGGGCTCCAGGGCACTCCAGGACCTGGCTTGGGCTCAGATGGGGGTGAGGGCTTTGGGGTTGGGGGCTGGCTCCTTGGTCATCAACTGTGAACAGTGCTGGCGGGCAGGGAAGCGCGGGTAGGGGAGAAGAGTGCAGGTAGCAGAGGTGAGGCTGCCCGGTGTGCTCAAATCCAGGGGAGGGGGCCGAGGGGCCAGGTCAGACGGGGTCAGTCCTGCAGAGACTGCAGAGGCTGGCCACAGTGGAGGGCACCCGAGGGAGTGCAGGCTGGGGAGGGTGGCAGGGAGGCCGGGGCAGGGGTGACGACAGCCACGGGGGCAGCGAGCGTGCAGGGGCACTGGAAGGCGAGCCGCCAGGGGCAGCTGTTGCTTTCCTCGCCCCGGTGAAATGGACCATCCAAGAATGTCAGTCCCTGGCAAATAAACACCAGCCGGTGCGCACAGCTCGCGAAGAGGCTGGAACCTGCGCCTGTGTCTCCCCGCCCCCAGGAGGACGGGCCAGAGCAGCGGCTCCCGCACGCAGGTCGCCCACTCCCAGCTCGACGGCACCCAGCGGGGAGAGCTGAGGCCCAGCCTGGAATCGCCTACCGAGCTCGCCCCCTGGGAAGGCAGGAGAAAATGTGGCCTGGCACGCGGGAAGCTTCCTGGCTCCCTAAGTTAGATCCCAGGTCTCAGGAGGGAGCCACCTAACCCCCCTCACCCCCCCACCCCACCCCACCCCCAAAGCCAAGGCCTTGCTGCCCTCTGGTGGCCACATCCCAACCTTGCAAGGTCTGAGAGTCCCAGGGCTTCCTGAGTGACCCGCCCAGCCAGGGCAGGCACTACTGGTTCAGGACAGGCTCCAGGGCGAGTGTAGGGACCGCAGCCCCAGAAGGTGCTCCCCAGGCTGACACCCCCTGCAGCAGGAGGCTAAGGGTGAGTGCCAGGCATGACCCCTCAAGGAGCAGCAAACAGTCGAAAAACCCCGTGGCACGTCAGGGACAAGCAGAGGCAGGGCCGACATCTGCTGCGAGTCAAACCTGTCTGTGGGGGTTTGTTTTTGTTTTTGTTTTTGTTTTTAGTTTTGCCATAGGGTGTGTGCACCCTCAGAGAGAGACAGAGAGAGAGGAGAGAGATCACTCCGGGGGAGGGGGGTACACCACAGCTCCTTCTCCATTCTCCTCTCAGGATTTGGGGCATGTTTCTCAAGTCATTGGTCCAGGACTCGCAGCTCAGTCTGCCACGGGGGATCCAGCCGCCTTAACCACCACACCACCTGCTGACCTTGTCTTCTTAAGAATGTGCATTTTCTTGGAAATCTTAACTACTCCTCGGAGGAAACACAGCCTCTTCCATCAGGGCCTTCCTGTGGCTCCCTGGAAGCAGCAGCTTTCTGGATTAGAGCAGGGAGAGGAACCGCGCAGAGGAGGCCCTCACACGCATGCCGCATGCCGGTCATAGCCGAGCGCTTCCCAGCTTCTGCCACTTGGGAGGAGACCGTTCTGGGAGCTGGCCAGACTGTCCTGCCAAATCCTCAGAAATCCTTTTGTGGGTCCCTGCTTCCCCATGTGCCCTGAAGAGCCCCCCAGAACCTGGGATGGCTGAGATGAGGAACACTGCATTTTCCATGCACGTGACACTGTCACCTCGTCTTTCTCAGAAGGCACCTCCATACCCAGGTGGCGGGGGTGTCCTGCAGGGACCCCCACAGCCACCCCCACAGCCCTGGTAACACAGCACTCCCTGCCTACCACACTGGGGTCCACGGAGAGATGCCCAGCTCAGTGACTGCAGCAGGTGGACAGTGGTGGCACCTGGGTGGGCAAAGGCCATAGCAGGGGCGGGGTAGTTGCCGCGTCAGTGGGCACACGGACAGCCTGTGCACAGTGCCCATGTCGGTGCCAGGAGGGGCTGACAGCCGGGACAGAGGGCCGCTACACAGTAAAGCGGACACCCCTGAGCCTCCCGCGCGACGTGAGAGGTGCCGTTGACAGAGCACACCCGGGCCTTCTGGTCCCTTAGCCACAGTCAGCCCGACTAGAGATAGCGAGGAACAAGTGCCAGGCGGGTCACTCGTGGGTGTCCCTGTGCTTCCTATCCTCGCAGCCCCACGAGCCAGCTCTGGTTCACTCCCTTCTACAGGAGGGAGGCCGAGGTTCAGAGAGGTTAAGCCCCTTGGCCTGGGTCACAGAGCGGCTTCAGCAGGTGTCTGTCCTTCCTCCTGCCTGTCTTTCCTTCTCACTCTCCCTCCCTCCACAGCCCTTGGGAAAGGACGGGCCGAGAAGTACATGCAGCACCGTGATGGGACAGCCAGCGGTCGCCTGACTGACAGGGGACTTCTGGAGGTGTGGCGCTTCCGGACCAGGTCCCTCTTGCTTGTCTTCGGTGTCCCTGCACCCCGAGGACAGGTGCTGGGGACCTAAACCACGATTCTCCATTCCCGACTTAAGTGTCCTGCTGGGGACCTAAACCACGATTCTCCATTCCAGACTTAAGTGAAGTCACTCGTGGAACCCAACTCAGGACGGGGCACGCTGCACGCGGTGGAGGCTGTCGTGTCCCTCAGGGCTGGGTCTGGGGCCCTCTCTTCCTCAGCATCGCCCCAGTCCAGCGTCTGGCCATCCCCTTCGCAGATTCGGAAACGTCATCCCGCCCCAGGCCTGCACGAGCTCTCAGTTGCTGTGACAGCACTGAAGGCTCCTTGCTTACGGGATGGTTTATTATGACTGAAATGGCCTCCCAGAAAAGACAGCCTGGGCTGTGGCAAGAGAAGTCAAAGCAGGGTCTAGCCCTGTAGCCCAGTGCTTAAGGAAGCTGGATGCCACATGGTTGACCACGGTTCAAAGCCAGCCCAGTGCATGTGCGTACCCCAAACCCCAATGGGATGGAGAAATGGAGGAGAGAATTGCAGTGTAACCACCGACCACTAGGGGGTGCTTTCTCCCTCTCTTTGTCTCTGGCGACAGCACGTGCACGCTGGCAATGAAAACAGTCAAATGAAGTTTCTCTGTGCAGCTGTACCCAGATTGGAAGTACTGCTGTTATGATGAATGTAGCCCTGGTTAAAAAGAAAGTAGAGACTTAAGAGGTTATTTAAAAAATCACAGAGAAATCAAAGCAGTGTCAATCCTGGCTCTGCCCGTCCTGGCCCCCAGACCTTGGGCAAGTCACCTGGATTGGAAACATGACACGAGGTGACAAAAGTCCTCTCCAAGTATTGTCCCCGCTTCCAGTTCACCCATGTGCTCAAGGAATTACGGAGCCTCCAGATGACTGGGCAAACAAAGCGGAGTGCACAGACCCTCCCTCTGCCTGCAAGATGGGGGGCTGCTTCCTTTCTCATCCCAGGACATCGCCCTGCCATACTCCCCCCAAACCAACACCATAGCAGCCCTTGGGCTAAGACGATGGGAGAGCCATTAGGGAGGTCGGGGTAAAGGGGCCTCCTGGCTCTGACACGTGCCACCACTGGTCATACACGGGCAGCAGGTCTTAGCGTGCTGGGAATGTGACAGCCGTCTTGGTGTGTGGGGAGGAAGGTTAGAAAATACTGATGCTGGGAATTCTGGCTCCTCAGTGGGCAGGGGAGAGCCCCCTGTAAGATGCTGCCCTTCTAGAAAGCCTGATGCAGAGCCTCAGGAGGCCACAGTTAAAAAGCACGTCTGCCCAGTGACAGCTTTCTGGGCAGACGGGCCTGCTATCAGAAAGCACCGTGCACGGAAACTGGGCGAGCTGGAGTGGGACCGGGCTGCCCTGTTACATGGAGGCTCTGGTCCACGGGAAGGACAGACAGGCAGCCAGGGGACAGAAGGTGATGCAGCTGGACGGGATGAGCTGGGAGTGAGAGTCAGGGCAGCCGGGAGGGGTTTCCGCTCGGCCAGACAGCTCCAGCTCTGTCTACCCGCACCCAACAGGCAGCGCCAAACCCAGTTCTGCTCTCTCCGTGGCTCCGGAGAGGGGGCGGGGCTGTCGGGCCTCTCTGCACCAGCCCGGGGCAGAAATCGATACACAGAGCTGGTCCCTGGGATCCAGAGAGCAGGGGAGGGGAAGAGCTGGTCCTCCCTGACCTCACCTCCACTGAAACGCAGGCCAGGTCTCTCTCTGAGGCTACCCATTCCAGCTCACCTACTTCCAAGACCTCCGAGGAGTCCTTCTCAGGAAGAGCTGGGCCAGGCCCCAGTGGCCCTCTGCAGAGGTGAGGCCCTGGCAGCACCCGCCCTCCACCCACACACTCAGGCTGGCCCTGTGCTCAGACCTCACCCGTCCTTGTCCCTGTGTTTTCAGAAGAGCACTTGTCTACACCGAGGCTGCAGCCTAGCTCCCTGCCTCAGTCTCCCTGCAGTCACAGGGCGCCGGGTCTGCTGCGCGTCAGCCGGGAACCTGGGAGGGAAAATTCCACTGGGAATCACAGATGCTGGCCAAAGCAGCTGCCCAAGGAGGTGGACCTAGGTCAGGGAAGGCGAGTCACGGGAAGGAAGTGGCGGCCCAGCAGGTGCCCAGTTCAGCATCTCCAGGCCCCATGCCTGGGCTGGGCTGGCAGGGGCTCAGGGCTGGAAGGCGCCTCCCATGCAGCGTGCACAGGGCAGCCTCTGCTCTAAGCCCAGCCCTGCCATCTGGCTCGCCGTGACTGGCAAGAAGGGATGTGTGCGGTGGTCACGGTCCAGTTGGAGCTTCGCTCCGGGCCAGTCGCCCTCCCCAAAGGAGGCTGAGAGCTTTCTTAACAAAGAACAGGAAAATGATACCAGCGGCCCCATGGGCCCCTATTCGAGGTCCTGCCCTGCTCTCTGGAGCTGCCCTACGCCAAAATGGGAGTGGGGGAGGGGTGGGAGCCGGCGCTGGCTCCTCTTCTCTTCCAGTCCCTTTCTTTGCAGCCGGCTCACCATGGCACTCCAGCCACGATGCTGCCAAGCATGCTGTGCCAGGGCGGAGGCTGGGCCTGGGGGCTGGGGGAGGGGCTGGGGGCCCTGGGGCTGGTGCCTGCCAGTGGTCCTGGAGTCCCTTGCCTGCACTTTAGAGAGCCTACCACTTGCCAGGAGAGGACTGGCTGGCCCGTGGGGTGGTCAGGAGATGGGGGAGGAGGGTGCCGGATCTGTCCCCCTCGGGGGCCCACAGGCAGCACAATAGCCCCTGGGGCTGCTGCTCCCTGGATTCAGTGGTTGCCTGGGCAACAACTGGGGCCGGTTTCCACCAATCGTGGCAGAGGCTGGGGGGGAGGGCGGCCTGGAGGAAGGGGGTGCTGTCCCCTGTGCTGGATCCTATATAAGGAGGAGAGATGCCCGCGCCCGTGGTCTGGGATTCGCCGTCCCTCCGGTGGCCTTGGGGTGGAGCACAACGATGCTGAGAACTGGCTCCACCAAGCCTGGGTCCTGGGGCGGCTTCTGGGCCGTCCTGACCTTGGTGGGCCTGACCACTCGTGCAGGTGAGTGGGCGGGCGGAAGGGTGAAGGGCAGGGCCATGGCTGGATCTTCCAGCCCCAGCTCGCGTGGCCGGCCAGGAGGGGGCGATGTCTGCGGGCTGGAGAGCACAGAGTGGCTGGGACAGCTTCGTGGGCACCTCTCCCTCCTTGCAGGGAGGAGGGCAGCCCGCCTGAGAGGGGAGGAGGGGCTGTCCGCAGGCAGGGGTCTCAACAAGAGGACCCGCCTTGTCCATTGTCTCAGACGGAGGCCACATGGGGACACCACCCCATCGGCATTCAGGTCCTTCAAAGTGGCAGCTGGGGGAGGCGAGGCTGGGAAAGCCGCACTCACTTCTCTCTCACCCTCCTGTTTCCGACTCTTCCACACGCCTGCTCTGCAACAGCCCCCCGCGCCTCGGACCCATGCACATGTACATGTGTGCGCGTGTGTTCACAGGGCTGGTGCCCGTCGTGCAGTCAGACGCCGTCCTTCCCTCCCTCTGCCAGGCTCCCAGTGAGAAACCTGCAGGCAGCACGTTCTCAAACAAGTGCAAGTCCCCCTCTGATGGCTGGGGCATCCCTGGCATGACAGAAGGCCCAGCCTGGAGGGGCATGCCACCTTCCACTCTGCCCCAAGTCCATTCCGGCACCAGCCTCCCTGCTGCGTGTCTCGGTCCCCTGCAGGCCATCGGCTGAAAGTGGGCGTCCACCTTCCAGGTCAGGTCCCGAGAGGGCAGGGCCCGGCCGGGCCTGGCAAACAGCTTTTCTCACAGGCCTGCCTGGGCTCGCACCACCCCTCCCCCCACCCGTGCTCCAGTCTCCCTCACCCCCTCTTGCTTCAGCACACCGAGTCCATCCCCTCAAGGGCCTCTGCATGGCCCGTTCTTCTCCCTCAACACTCACTGGACCCTGGCTGTCTCCCTGCACACGAAGGTGCTTACCTGGGTACTTAGGACCCAATATGCTCCTGTGTGCTTTTAGGGTGGGAGGACTTGGCTTGTTTTGTCCATTGCCGTATCCCAAGCTCTGAGAAGAGTGTCTGGCGCATAGTAGGTGCTCAACAAATTTTTCTGGGGGGGAGAGGGGAGGTTTTTGCTATAGGGCACATGCATTTGCCAGAAAGGCAGAGAGAGAGACAGAGAGAGACAGAAAGCAAGAAATCACCCCCCATGGGGGATGGCCATGCCTCAATCCCTTCTCCTCCATTCTCCTATTGGGATCTTGGGCATGCACACACACGTGCCTGGCGTGAATTTAAGCCACTAGTCTGGACTCGAAGCACGGTCGACTACATGGGAGTCCAGCGACATAGCCATTATACCAACTGCTGGTCCCACTCAATGAATCTTAAATGCTGAATGCACCACCTCTGACAGCTCCTCGAGGGCTCAGGGAACGATCCTTCGGGGGTGAGAGGGGTGAAACCGACAGTTTCCTCAACCCTTGCGTGGGGGTCTGGCATCATAGAGACCAGCTCTGAGCAAGTCACGGCTCACGGCCTCTCCTGCCCAGATCCACCCTCTAAGGGCACCCTCTAAAGGTCCGCACTGACACAGCCTTCCCACCCAGGATGTGCACTGGGACACACGCACGTGCGTTCATGCACCTCGTGGACTCAAGAATGTGCACACACCATGCCTAAGGGGGCTGCCCCCCACCCCGTCTGCCCACACCACGCCCACATCTGCGGTTGGTCCCTCTGCACCCAGCTGGCAGCCCTGGGCCCAGGGCGCCTCCTCAGGCAGTGCTGTTGTTTCTCCCTCTGCAGCCCAGAGAGCAGATGTTGGAGGGGAGGCTGCAGGCACCTCCATCAACCACTCCCAGACGCTGCTACAACGCCTGCAGGAGCTGCTGCGGCAGGGCAACGCCAGCGACGTGGTGCTGCGGGTGCAGGCTGCGGGCACCGACGAGGTCCGGGTCTTCCACACCCACCGCCTGCTGCTGGGGCTGCACAGCGAGCGGTTCCGGGAGCTGCTGAGGAACCAGAGCGAGCTGGTGCTGCAGGAGCCCCGGGACTGCGCCGCTGTCTTCGACAAGTTCGTCAGGTGAGGAGGGGTGCCTGGGGGAGGTCTTGGCCCTTCTCCACCTATTGGGTCTCAGAAGCCAGGACCCTCAGAGGCCATCTTTTCTACTCCCCGGACATTACCAGGGTGACACTGCACCATTCCCTCTGCCCCTCTGCAGTGCAGCATAGCTTCCCTGCCTCTGCCCGTGCTCTGTGTGTCTTGGTGTGCCCTGGAACACGCACAGAGCTGTTTCCAAACACAGCCAGGACAGCTTTTTTTTTTTTTTTTTTTTGCTATAGGGCACGGTCACTCACCCTGAAAGACAGAGAGACAAAAAGCAAGAAGTCACCCCCCCGGGGGGGGAGGGATGGCCACACTGCAATTCTTTCTCCTCTGTTCTCTCAGGATTTGGGGTAGGCATGCACACATGCCCAGTGTGAATTTCAGGCTGCCGGGTCTGGGACTTGAACCGTGTTCAGCCATGTAGGAGTCCACTAACATAACCACTACACCATCTGTTTATCACAGTGTTTTTGTTTTGAGAATTATTTATTTAATTTTATTATGGGGAGTATGGCCACACCGCAATCCCTTCTCCTCTGTTCTCTCAGGATTTGGGGCACGCAAGCACATGGTACCCAGTGTGTGGTTTAAGCCACCAAGTCTGGGACTCAAACCGTGGTCAACTACATGGGAGTCCAGTAACGCAGCCATTACACCATCTACGGTCCCAGGGGAGCTTTTCAAAACTGCAGATACGGGCCAGCAGATGGCGTGCAGGCTATGGCGGCTGGACCCATGTGACCTACGGCGCATCCAAGCCCTAGACCCCATGGCCTGACAAACGTGCCTGGTGCGTGTGCTTGCAGGCCCCAGGGAGAGATGGAGGAGGGACTGTGCCGCGACCGTCCTCCATGGGGAGGTGCTGTCTCACCTCTCCGTCTCTCTCTGGCGAGTGCAAATTAAGAAAACAAAACCAAAAAACTTACAGTTACTCTGGATCTTCGGCTTCAGGCCTAGGGTTGGGGCCAGCAATCGTTTCCTTAAAGCCTCTGTGTGGTTCCGGTGTTTGATCAGGTCTGGAGAGCTAGAACTCCCTGCGTCCCGCCCGTGTGTTCCACAGCGGGTGCCATTCACACTAGAGTCTGAGAAAGGGACCTTGTTTTCAGGGGCTTAGGCAAGCTGGCTGCAGAATTCCAGATTTCACTTCCAAGTTTCAGCCGGCAGGAAGAGAATAAAACGGAAAGGCAAGAAAGGTCTTTCTTCCTTCCATTAAGCGGCCTTTCTCCAAACCCACACCTGTGCTTCCACTGGCCTCTCAATGACCGGAATTAGTCACTGTAAGGGACCCTGGGAGACACCACCTGGTATTCCCAGAGGCAAAGATGCCTGGTGGAAATGCAGTGGGGAGGGGAGGTGCCGGTGGTGGGCAGGTCATTAGCAGTCGCAGCCACCACCTCCTTCCAGACTGTGTGCCAGTGAGGGGACTGGCAGGAGGACTGAGCAGGGGGACAGTGTGGATCCCACATGCCTGACAGAGGGGTGGAGTCCTGGTCCCTGCAGCTTGAGAAACACGCCCTGCACCTGT